TCTAAGCACAAACATACATATACAAACATGCATACACAAGCATATAGTTCACATATATACAGCTTTATGGTTAGCTCACCAGTCTAATATCTTGGCTCCCTGGAGGCATTCCAAAGACCAGGGCTGCGTCTAAGGCTTAAATTTACACACACACACACACACACACACGAGGGGGGTGCTCACTGGTGCCTGTACAGAGAGGAGCAGTCAAGATTGCACAGCACAGAGTGTTTCCCTATACCAAGCCTGTTGTACCTTATGACACTAATGGACATGAAGACACCAAGATGTTTGATAAAGTGCATGATGAAGCTGATATGAATCTATCAAAGTCACTGTCACAAAGTATCTCAAGTAAAAGGCAATGTCTTTCTCAGTACAGACTGTGTTAGAACTAGAATAGATCAGCTGGGATGCATCTTTGCCTTCTCAAGCTTCTCTTCCTACCCTCCTCTGCTCATCTGTCAACACCAGCCTACTACCCACCTGGTATTTCATGTTTGCTTGGTCCTGTTACTTTGTGACAGCACAGTACATCATGGTGGGAACATGTGGTAGGGAGGCCTCTTTACCTCATGGCAAAGACAGAAAAGGCAATTAAAGAGCAAAGAGAGAAATAAAAAGGGCCCTGAACCCATGTACTCTTCAAGGCGATTCCCCCAATGATCTAGCTTCATTCTACTAGGCCCTATATCCTAGATGTTCTGCCACTTCCTGATAGTGCCATAGGCCAGGAAACAAGGCTTCAACACATGGGACCCATAGAAACATTGAAGACTCAAACTATGGGGCCTCTGGAGTACCACCTGACTTCTTTTTTCTCCTCCTCCTCTTCATCTTTTCTGTTTCATTGTGATCTAAGCATAGAGCTCCTTAATGATTGAGTTTCAGTATAGGCAAGGGCCAACCCAGAGTGATGAGGATTAGGATCATCTGAGGGTGAAGATGGAAACAAGGAGAGCCTAGTGGGCCCACACTGAAGGGCCCGAGAAGACAGCCTAGACTGTCAGAGAGCCTGGTTTTTATGCTGAAATCTGCTTGGCCAGCAGCACTGGGAGTTAATATTTTTCTGTGTGTGTTTTGGAATTAATTTCTAGTAAATGCAATCACCTACTCTCCCCTTCCCTCTCGCTCATCCCCTTCCTTTCTCCATTCCTTTCCCTTCTAATTTTCCACTTGGCTGGGAATTCTCCAGCAGTGAAAGTTCAGGCTTAGGGGAGGGCGGAGGTAACTGCTTCATTAGAGAGGATAATCTCATTGGAGCCATTGGCTTGAATAATAACCCCTTGCAGGGGCCTGGGGCCTTTCTCCCTAGAGCTGTTAGAACCTCTGATCTAGGGCATTAAGGGCCCAGTGCACAGGAAGTAGAATGAAAATGGGAAGAAAGATATTTCAGTAAGGAAGACCTTAACTCCGGGGCTAAAGGGGGTGGGGGGAGTGTCTCTCCTTGGGGCCTGCTGGTCACTTGCACATCTGTGTTTGGTACAGAGGTAGTTATGGGGATGACAGAGACAAATGGCTGAGAAGTCAGTTGCATAGCACATATTCTGTGAGTCTACATAAGCACTATTTTTCCTATGTGGGAAATGGATGAAGCGGTACCCTGATGCCCCTACTGCAGGGTGGAGAACCTTGCTTTCCCAGGAACTGGAGCTCTTGGTAGGAAGAAATTCAGGAGCAGAAATGAACCCTTTTCACCTTTCCTAACTCTGGCCTGAACCACTAGAAAACTACAGTCCTCAAAAAGCAAAAGGCTTGATGGACCCCATGAGATATCAGAAGCCATGGCCCTTCCCCTGCCATTATCCCATCACACTTAAGGTCACTTGTCTGTATTTTTGGACATTTGCAGCCTCCACCCTCCTGAACCATGCAGGATGGTAGAAATGTCAAAACATCCATGATTCTGATCTTAAACGTAACTTTCTACTGAGATAGAACTGAGTTCTCAGTACACTTTGACGGCTATTGAAAAAAAAAAAAAGCTATAACCCATAGCACACTTTCACTCTCTTAGCCTCTGAGCCTCCCTTCATCTTCATTGTGAGGAAAACTGCTACAGCCCTCCCTTCTCCCTTTGATGTGCCTGATGAGCCAGCCATTCTGCATCAGGTGTAGTTTGGAGCCGTGGAAGTTAGGGGAATGATGGGCTAACAACACCAGCTAACACTTGCTGCCGACTGTGTTTAATGCACAGTTGTAACTCCTTAGCACACGCTAGCCCATGAAATAATCGGGAACTCTTAGCTGTTTGATACTGTTTTGTAAAAGAAAGACTGAGGCATCAAGATGTTAAGCCTTGGTGCTTAAAGTGGTAAATTACATGTGGCTTTCTATATTCAGCACTTGATAGAAGTGTGGCAAGATGCAGCCCTAGGAATCTGGGTAGCAGCAAACAGTGCAGGTTAGGCTCATTCCCCCCCAACTACCTTTGACCCTCCCCCCAGCCTAGGAGAGTGGTAGAGCCCACCTGTTCCATTTAGTGACTTCTGGTGACGTTTGGCTTGAAACCAGCTTTACCCCACCTCCACCCCCACACTCTTCATAATTTAATCGAAGACATTTTTTTTTTCAGACCTACTGATTACTCTTAAAAACAGGAACTTCAAAGTTAGGGAATCAGTGAATAATTGAAGCTGTTCTAGTTCTCTGGGTCTGCTGTTAAAGGGCGTAATAACACTATTAATAGCGATGTCAGTTCAGACAGTCTGGAAAAGTCCATAACATTAGCCTAATGGTTGAAGGTAATGGAGTTCTTGCTGAGGAGCTGGCCTGGTAAATTAACTTCTAAGACTTAGAGGCAGACATTCTTGTTGCGAGTGGTTTGCTCAAGCAGCCCAAGAAATCTGTGGGGACCATCCCCTCCCACCCCCAGACTCACTCCTGACCTTTTCCTCCTGGTTTGGGAGACTCTTGAATTTATCCCAGGTAGTTCAGGTTTGTCCAAAAGATATGCATGATAGTCAGGTGCTTTCTGATGGAGCCTAGAAGAATGGTGGAGAGGAAATGTTTAAAAAGCATAAGGATGTAAGAGAACTATTAAGATGGAAAGGAACATGGGTTTAATCTGCAAGGGGTCTGCCCCCCTACTTCTTAGTCTGGAAGCTTCTGGAAGCTTAGCACAGTTCCAAGGAGCAGAGGCTCTCAGTTTGGCTGGGCTTGATATGGACTCAAATCGGCTGTGACCCAGATGAAGAAGTGACCCACCCATCCTCTTCCACAGTTCCCTGACTTCTCAGCTGGGTTGTTCACAGGAAACTTAAATGGCATAGAATGCAAAGCCTTAGCACCGTGAAAGCACACAGTAACTAGTGGCCACGATTGCATTATGTAGAGTTGGGCTGACTTCTGTGTCAACCATCACCTTACCTACTGTGAAGCCCTCCTCCTGTCTTAGTCTCCCTTTCCTACCCCCTCTTCCTTCCAGGGCAGCTTAGGCTCTCACCTTTAGTGCTTTCCCATTAGTTAGCTAAACAGCTCTGAACTCAGAAGCCATCCCTCGAACTGAGGCTAATGTGCCTTCTTTTGCTCTGACTGGGAGGACTACAGCTTCCTCTAGGACTAAGAGTTGGCCCACAGCCACCAAGATCCCCTTTCTTCTTTTCTTTCCCATCCCACAACCTTTCTGGAAGGATGTTTTCTTCCCATGACCCCTCCTGATGTTGCTCCCTATCCTTTGTTACTGCTTCTTCTGCCGCTTTGTCCAGACCTCCCTCAGTATCTCCTAACATCAACCTTTTCTCTTTGGCCAAAAGATGCTAGGCATGCAGGGCTGATTTCCGGGCAATCCCATCTTGTTTCAGCTTGTCTCTCTGGAGCACCTCACCCACCTGTGCTGCACAATAAGATCCATATTCTAGAATGTCCATATCCTGGCCACTGGACACAGCTCTATATTTGTAAGGCTTATCTGACCTGGATTAAATAGTATTCCCTGAATTCATGCACAGACCTTGTCTTTATGTGCATCTTTCTCAAGCCCTCATCAGTGAAGACCGTTAAAAGCCAAGGCCATACTGGATGTGGTGCACCTGTCACACAGTACACTTTATACAATACATTAGTGACAGAAACTTTATTTAGCCGCTCCCTAGTGCCACAGGGATGGGGTTCTGATGCTGTTAGCTACAATCCTCTGTTCCTTTTATTCTCTCTGTCTCTCTCTCTTTCTCTGTCTCTCTTTCTCTCTCATACCTACCTGCATTTATCTCCATTGCTAGAATGTATGCAGGGGATTCCAAAAGCAATCAGATACTGTTTCCTCTCTTGAGAAACTCCTACTTGATAGGAGAGGGCTACTTTTAGCTCAGTCATCATCATAAAACGTAAGACATTTAGATGGGCAGCGGTGGTGCACGCCTTCAGTCCCAGCACTCAGAAGGCAGAGGCAGGCAGATTTCTGAGTTCAAGGCCAGCCTGGTCTACAGAGTGAGTTCCAGCCAAGGCTACACAGAGAAACCTTGTCTTGAAAAAACAGAAAAAAAAATCAAGACTATGGGAAACTCTAGAGTGCTAAGGGAGAAATAAGGAAGAAATTCTTATCTGCCTGGGGCTGGGGAAGGGGAATTATAGATACAAAAAAGCTAAGGTAGTTTGCACATCTCGATGGAATTAGATGGGTAAACAGGCATGGAAACCCGGACAGAACTAGATCTACCAGGCAATACAATATGTATTATGTACTATATTGCATATACGGGGAGAAGTGAGGTTCGCTAAAAAGGGTGGAGTGTGTCAGAGGCTGTGGATAAATGAGAAGTAGACTAGATATGACTCTATAGCTCTTCATGCAGTTTTGAAGGGAGTGAGGGGATCAGGATGACTCTAGTTTTTTGATGAGAATTTTTAGAGATGGCTGCCTTTCCAAAGCCATGCATGCTAGAAGAGGGCCGAGCTTGCAGAAGGAAACAAAATGAGCTCTTTAGGTTTAGATGGGCCCTAAGAGCTTCTGGGGGGTTTGCTTTCTGGCCCAACTGATCAACATTGTGTGTTCTTGCCAGGTGCACCCGGAAGGAACGGTGTGAGCGCTCCAGGGAACCCCGAAGGTTTGCCTCAGAGATGAAGCAGTGTGTTCGGCTGACAGTCCATCCCAACAACATCTCTGTCTCTCAATACAATGTGCTGGTAAGACTGGGAAGATTTGAATCCAGGGAAGAACTCTCCCCCCCCCCCAAAAAAAAAAAATCAAGGCCTCTCAGGAGCAGCTCTAGATTAGGGGTGGGATGTCAGTAAAGAAATGTCTGGGCAAGAATATTGAAGAAAAGATTCCACTCATAAGGATGAGAAAATGACCCTACCAAAGGTGATCAAGAAATACAAATTAAGGCTACATTGAGATTCCATCTCACTCCAGTCAGAATGGCAGTCATTAAGAAAGCAAATAAAAACAAATGCTGACAGAAATTTAAACTAGTCTAGGAATCATGAAAATCTATACAGGTTCTCCAAAGTCTTAAAGTAAATCCTCCCCCATGTGACCCAGATACAATAACCATCCTGGCTATAGGATACTTGAACACAGATGTTTTTTACTGGACTATTCATAAGGGCTAGTGTGTGGAACCAACCTAAGTATTTGTCAACCAAGGGATGAATAAAGAACCAAGGTTTATGTACACAAAGAAGTTCTTTTAAGTCATAAAGAACACATCCATGTCATTTGAAGAAAAATGGTGCAACAAGATCATACTATTCAGTGAATTTAAATATGTTTCAGAAAGACAAATGCCATTTTTTCTCGTGTATGGATCCTAGATTTTATAGAGAGACATAAAATCAGATATTTACATAGGACATGAAAGTGGAAGCCATAAAAAGGGAAAAAACTGAACTAACAGGAGAGTGAGGGCTGGAAAATGGAAAAGTAGTAGAGCGTAGAGTAATGTGCAGAAAATATATTATATATATTCAGGAAAATAGTATATGGGCAAGCATAACAAAAGGTGTAGTATTTTATTATACTCAAAAATCTAGGCAATGGCTCTTCTAGAGGTATCTCCACCCCTGATCTCAAGCTGTACTGTAGAGCAACAATATTAAAAATTGCATTGGCATAGAAACCGACTGGTAGATCAGTGGAATTGAATAGAAGACCCTGAAATAAATCCACACACTTAGGGACACCTGATTTTTTTTTTGTTTTGTTTTAGCAGATTTTTATTTCTTTTTAAAAAAAATATTTTTATTTTAATTTTTATTAATTACACTTTATTCACTTTGTATCCCCCCCATAAGCCCCTCCCTCCTCTCTCCCCTCCCAATCCCACTTTTCCTCCCTTTTCTCCACACACGCCCCTCCTTAAGTCCACTGATAGGGGAGGTCTACCTCTCCTTCCTTCTGATCCTAGTCAATTAGGTCTCATCAGGAGTGGCTGCATTGTCTTCCTCTGTTGCCTGGTAAGGCTGCTCCCCCATCAGGGTGAGGTGATCAAAGAGCAGGCCAATCAGTTTATGTCAGAGACAGTCCTGTTCCCATTACTATGGAATCCACTTGGACACTGAACTACCATGGGCTACCATTGTGCAGGGGTTCTAGGTTATCTCCTTGCATGGTACTTGGTTGGACACCTGATTTCTTGACAAAGATGCCAAAACCATTCAATTGAAAAAAGACAGTATCTTCAACTAATGGTGCTGATCTAACTGGATGTCACATGTGGAAAAATGCAAATAGATCCATATTTATCACCCTGCACAAAACTAAAGTCCAAGTGGATCAAAGACCTCAACATAAAACCAGATACACTAAACCTGTTAGAAGAAAAAGTGGGGAAGAGCCTTGAACTCATTGGCACAGGAGACAACTTCCTGAACAGAACACCAACAGCACAGGCTCTAACAGCAACAATCAATAAATGGGACCTCATGAAATTGAAAAGCTTCTGTAAAGCAAAAGACACTGTCCTCAGAACAAAACGACTGCCTACAGATTGGGAAAGGATCTTCACCAACCCTATATCTGACAGAGGGCTAATCTCCAGAATATATAAAGAACTCAAAAAGTTAAACAGCAAAAAAATCAAGTAATCCAATTAAAAAATGGGGTACAGAGCTAAACAGAGAATTCTCAACAGAGGAATATCGAATGGCCAAAAAACACTTAAAGAAATGCTCAACATCTTTAGTCATCAGGAAAATGCAAATCAAAACGACCTTGACATTTCACCTTACACCCATCAAAATGGCTAAAATAAAAAATTAAAGTGACAACATATGCTGGAGAGGTTGTGGAGAAAGAGGAACCCTCCTCCACTGTTGGTGGGAATGTAAACTTGTACAACCACTTTGGAAATCAATCTGCCGCTTACTCAGACAATTAGGAATAGTGCTTCCTCAAGACCCAGCTATACCACTCCTAGGCATATATTCAAAAGAGGCTCACGTACATAATAAGGACATTTGCTCAACCATGTTTGTAGCAGCTTTATTTGTAATAGCCAGAAGCTGGAAACAACCCAGATTCCCCTCATCTGAGGAATGGATACAGAAATTGTGGTACATCTGCACAGTGGAATATTACTCAGCAATGAAAAACAAGGAAATCATGAAATTTGCAGGTAAATGGTGGGAAATGGAAAAGATCATCCTGAATGAGGTATCCCAGAACCAAAAAGACACACAGGGTATATACTCACTCATTAGTGGATATTAGACATATAATATAGGATGCATCTACTAAAATCTGTACACCTAAAGAAACTAATCAAGAAGGAGGACTCTGGCTAAATGCTCAAACCCTATACAGCAAGGCAAAGAGGATGAACATCAGAAGAAGGAGGAAACAGGGAACAGTACAGGAGCCTGCCACAGAGGGCCTCTGAAAGGCTCTACCCTGCAGGGTATCAAAGCAGATGCTGAGACTTGTGGCTAACCTTTGGGCAGAGTGCAGGGAATTTCATGAAATAAGTAGGAAATAATAAGACTTGGAGAGGACAGGAGCTCCACAAGGAGAGCAACAGAACCAAAAAATCTGGGCCCAGGGGTCTTTTCTGAGACTGATACTCCAACCAAAGACCATTGATGGAGATAAACTAGAACCCCTGCACAGATATTGCCTATAGCAGCTCAGTGTCCAAGTGGGTTCCATAGTAATGGTAACAGGGACTGTCTCTGACATGAACTTTGTTCACCTCCCCTTGCGGGGGAGCAACCTTACCAGGCCACAGAGAAAGATAGTGCAGCTACTCCCAATGAGACCTGATAGACTAGGATCAGAAGGAAGGAGAGGAAGACCTCCCCTATCAGTGGACTTGGGGAGGGGCATGTGTGGAGAAGGGGGAGGGAGAGTGGGATAGGGAGGGGAGAAGGGAGGAGGCTTATGGGGGGGATACAAAGTGAATAAAGTCTAATTAATTAAAATTAAAAAGGAAAGAAAAAAAATCTGGCAATGGGTGTGTACTTAGCTATCCATTAGACAGCTTGAGATTAATTGATATGTAAGTAAATATGTAATTATAGAATTGGGCCATGTAGCAAGGAGTATTGGCAATAATCTCTTTATCTACAAAGGGAACTATATAGGTGCATTGGGAGAATGTGATAGAGATGCCGAGTTAGTGGTTGGTGTTCTCATTTTACCAGATGGAAGAGGTGGCCCATCAGCCAGCCTGGTTCTGCTCAGAATACTTCTAGCACACAGATCTCCTAAGTGTTTCCACTTCCTGGGACCAAATGCACTCAGATCCTAGTGGGTTTCTTTAGTCTGTCTCTACCTTCCACTGCCTACTGTATATTCTTGTAACAAGCTAGTCTATATTAATAATTCTCCTCCTTTGTCTGTCTCTTTCCTTCCTTCTTCCTTCCTTCCTTTCCCTATTCCCCCCTCCTCTCTGCTTCCCCCTTCCTGGCTGGGCTGTTCACAGCTGGTCCTAGAGACATACAATGTCCCGGAGCTGTCAGCAGGTGTCAACTGTACCTTTGAGGATCTGTCAGAGATGGATGGGCTGGTAATAGGCAATCAGATCCAATGCTACTCCCCTGCAGCCAAGGAGGTGCCCCGGATCATCACAGAAAATGGTGAGCAAGTGGTCCCAGGAGGCAGGGCTGGGTGGCAGACTCTTCCTTGTGTCTGGGTTGCAGAACTCATGACTGATGAGGGGTATTGAGGGAGCCTAAGGGCAGGAATAAGTGAGCAGGAGTGGTCTGATGGTTCAAAGGATAGAAGTGAGATTTTTCTCTTTTTCTCTTGTAAATTAACTGGTACAGCCCCTCTGTCTCAGACCTTGATTAGGAATCAAACCTCTACCTCATCCAAGATGAGGAGTGGCTACAGAGAAGGTAGGTAGAGGCCAATCTGGAATAGTAATGGCTTTTAGCTGGCTCCTTTTAGCTGGCCTGGAAGGACAGTGGAAGAGGGGAGCCAGTTGGGAGGAAGGATATGATGGCTCCATAACCCTTTGCTCACACTCACATGACTGGGTCTCTGTTGCTAGAGCACTTTCTCCCCACTCTCCCACACACAGCTGCCTGTTGCATCTAACCAACTATACTGAGAACGATGTCAGTGGACAACACGGGTAAGGGACAGGCTGGCCTAGGTGGATTGATTCCATGTTGTCCCTCTCATTTGGGTTTGTCACATTTATTCAGAGCTGATTGATTAATGAGGCTCTTGGGGAAGGCAGAGAACAGGCTGGACGTGAGGTCTAGGGTCAGGGCTGTGAATTGAACATGGACTCCTCTTTGGCGCCAGCTGAGGAGTCTAGTGTCTCTCACCCCTATTGAGCCAAGTCCAACAGAGGAGGAGTATCAGACCTGTGGGTCTCACTGCACATAGATGAAGTGAGCTTGTATGTGTACACATTTGCACATATATGCATTGCCACTTGTGCCACAGGCAACAGCTTTCCTGAGATGCTACATTTTATTCCTCCTTGGCTACTCATCACTATTACGATTCCATGAGGCTTTCAGACACAGTATTTGAGGAAATTTGATTGTCTGTGCATGTGTATGTATGTGCTTAAGTGCATATGTCTGCTTGCCCATGATAAGTGACAGGAGGGAGGTGCCTACATAACAGAGAAGGGAGAACAAATACAGTTTGTTTTGCTTGTGTGTACGTGTGTGAGGGAGTCATCTTGGACCTGACCCTTGTTGACTCAGAGGCCTGTGAAACCTGACAGCATCCAATGGAGCAGGCTCTCTTTTCCAGAGTACATTCCTGATAATGGGACTTTGGCTTGGGTTTTCAACTTCCCCTGGGCCCCATTGGTGGGCTCTACCTTATAGGGGACCATCATGTTGTCCAGCTGCAACTCAAGTCAAAGGAGACTGGGATGACCTTCGCCAGCACCAGCTTTGTCTTCTACAACTGCAGTGTCCACAATTCGTAAGTGTCCTGGCTTTACTCAGCTTTCTGTTCCTGGGGTCAATGTTCATGCAAAGATTAGAAGACCCCACTATGATTTCATGGAATCATTGCATGGAGGCTTCCAAAGAGGCCAGCTTAATGCTAGACGACAGTTCTCTCTTCAGAACCAATAGGGTGAATGGAAAGAGACCAAAGTGACAGCCTATGGTATGAGCCCTGCAAATTCCTAGCCTATGCATCTTCTCTGGCATAAATCTTCTAGCCTTATATCTTCCCAACATCTCCTAGAGGTGATGTAGATCACCTGAAGGACAGCAGTTCACACCCTCACAGAGGAGGGAGCAGAGAAAGAAAGGAAGGGGAGCCTTTACATATATCCAGGAGAGGTCAGGTGGTCTAGCAAGTCAACTAAATGCTCCACCCTGTAGGCTGGGTCAGAACTCAGGTTGATAGGTGCAGAAGGAAGGTCAAAAGACAGAGTGGCTGAGGCCCTGCTATGAAGATACGGAAGCCTGGCTCTGGTTCTGTTTGACTTTGGCATCTCCTTCCTCTAAATGGAAATCATGGACAGCAGACTAGCTAAATGTTTTAACCATTCTGTGCTCTATTGTTCTCTATAAAAGGGGACATAGGGATACTGGAACCACAATATTTAGTGACAATATTTAGTGGCACATATTAGTTACTTTTTCAGTTGCTGTGGCAGAATACTTGGTGGAAGCCACCTAAGGGAGTAAAGGTTTTTTATGGGTCTTGATTCAACGCATATAGTCCATCATGATGGGGACATCATGGTGGCTGGAAGGGTTTGTCTGCATCAGTAAGAGCTTGTAGAGTGGTTTCTCACATCTCAGGAAGCAGAGCAGCCATCAGGCATCACCTTCACTGCCTTCAGTGACTCCTTCTGGTACCTGGGTGACAGTCCCCAAGATTCTACAAATTTCCTCAAAGAGTACCACAAACCAGGAACCAAGAGTTCAAGCAAAGAAGCCTGTGGGGACCTTTCACATTCAAACTACCACATGACATCTCAGGCACGCGGTCCTATCGGAGTAGTCCTTGCTTGGAACACTGCTACTGATACCACTGCACAGCAGACCTGACTTTCCCACGGGATGGGGAGTCAAAGAGCCATTATAGGGAACCATTTAGAACCCATTTGTCTCATTGATTAAGTGCTACTCATGCTTTTTGTTATAATTATATTGTTATTTCCTCTGTGAAATGATGGGATTGAACCAGATTATAGAAGTACTTTTTTTTTTAACGTTTTCACCATAGAAACTAAAATCAGCCCAATATGCAAAGCAGATGGAAGAGGAGCTATTTATTTGGAGAGTTAGGAGACCAGGAACCCTGCTATCTAGGGGTTCCATGGGACTCTACCCAGTTTCCAAAGGAGCTCCACAGAACCTTTAAGGTTCCACAGAAGAGAGTTTAGAAAACACATGGCCTGACCCTCAACATTTCTGTTTGCTTTAACATGCTGTTCTGCATTCCTCTCTTCATAGGGTAGGTATCTAACATGAAATTTGGGGGGGTCTAATATTATAAAATAATTTAGGGCTCATGTAGGCTATCTGTATAAGACTAGAAGTTAGCGCGGTTTGGGGCCTCGAGGAAGGAGGAATCGGTCGCACCCAGCCAGAGCCCCGCTATGTCAACATCAGGGTTCTGTTCTCACTGCTTGCCATGGAGTTGCCCATGACGTCACCTCTTAGTGGCATATTCCCTCCATCTCTTCTTGCCTCCTAGAAAAGCAGAATAAGTAATTAAATCAGCTGTGACATTTCTATCCCATCCATAGTGTTACTCATCAGATGGAGGTTTTACAAGTTAATAAGCCCACAGCACTCAGGCCCTGCCCTCCATTGGCACCAATACCTACCCAATTGCCCAGTCAAGGTTTGCAGCCTAGGGCCTCATGGAAGAACCTAATGCTTAATAATAACAAAGAACCTGGGAGAATCTCCGCACAGATGTTTGAAAAACAAGGGTCTGGAAGTACCAAGTCTCCTTTGGCCAAAGGTTGATCAAGTGAAGGAAAACAGAGAGGTCCTACAGATGGTGGAACAGCCTGGGGGAAGCAGCTCTGCCTGTGCAGCAAGGCATTTGAGCTTGTAACAACAGAGAACGATGTTGGGTTTTTAAGCAACAAAAGGTTCTTGTAAAGTGGTCTGTCTCCTGGAGGTAAAGAATGGAGTTGGCAACTGTGCTGGGACTCCTGGTGTAAAGAGTGCAGCCTCAGTAGCTTCCGTTGTCACCAGAGCATTGGTGTAGGTCCTTAACAGTGAGACTCAGAGGCGATTTGACTTAAAAGCTGATTTGGTGTTGGTCTTAATTCTTATGGACTATATTTATTATTGCCCTATTATTTAGCAAATAACCATGTCAAATAATGGGGGTAGAGAGAGGCTTACCAGGTTTTGGAGGAACAGGGTTCCAGCTCTGAGTGAGGAGGTCATTTCTTGAGAAGAAAAGAATAGATTTGTATGAGACATTTGTTTGCTCATCATTCAAGGGTCATCTCTCTTAACAGCAAAATGTTCTGCTATATTCTAAAGATGTAGGTACTTTGGCTGAAGTTCTAAGATGTGTACATCTTTTCTGTGCCCAGATGTCTATCTTGTGTGGAGAGCCCATACCGCTGCCACTGGTGTAAATACCGGCATGTTTGCACCCACGATCCCAACACATGCTCCTTCCAGGAAGGCCGAGTGAAGCTGCCCGAGGTAGGTTCCAGCAGTGGGATGGTGAGAGGCACTGCTTGTAAGCATGGACCTCACATGCAGCCCTTCTCTAAAGTGTAAAACCCGAGAGCGGATCCTAGGGATCTCTTCCTTCCTCCCTAATCTTGGCTCTTCAGGGGCGCTGTATGAAAGCAATGGATGAGCTAAGCCCTGCACTGGAACCATGGTTCTGGCTCAGAACCATGTATCTGAACCAAGAGGTTTAGATACAAATCTGTGAGTGTGAGTCTCCTGTGTGTGAGTTCTTGCCTTTTCTCTAATAAAAATGGAATGATTGTCAAGGGAATAAGAACATGAGTCAGACAGCCAGTGGACCCACATGAAAAGCTGCCAAAAAGCTGACAGTAGTATCTGTGTGGCTGGGTCTTGATCTTGGGGACAGGATCAGAAGGATAGATAAACCTTTTTGTGGAAAAAAGTCAAGTCTTCAGGAAACACCCATCTGAAATCTTCCGGGAACATGACAGTAGTCAGACAAAATGGCTTTCAAGGTCTCTCCTGGCTCTCAAAATGGTGAACCTGACCAAGGTTTTAGGAACAGAAAGGCCCAAGACTGATAGGAGAACAAAAGCAATGGACTTTGTGGATTGCAAGTACAGTACATCCCAACACTCTTGTGGAGGAGGCCTACAATTTCTTCTCTCTCTTGCTTGTTTCTTTCCTGTTATTTTTGTGGCAGGGTTGTCTTAGATGCTTAAAAATGAAGATTAAAAGAACCAAAGAAAGCAAAGTAAGAGCTACCAAGATTCTCAGAAGAATGGTGGGATATCTGTGGGAGATGGTGCTTTCAAGTACAAGGTGCCCAATTTATGCCTGGCTTTGTCAGCATCTGCTGGGGCTCCAGGGCCCCTCAGAGGATTTAATGCTAGGGCTACTGAGAAAGGAACAGGCTTTGAGGAATATGGCTAATAGGGCATGAGAAGATCCAACTATTGCTGTTTTCCCTCAGTTTTTTTCCATTTTTCATAAGTTGTGCATGATTACTTGGCAGGCCATTGTAGTATGAGACTTTAGCATAACTTGGAAACTTCCATGTCTCCATATCACAGTATAATATGGAGTGCCTCTTTTTCTTAGACTTCTGCTTATTTTAAGAGAAAGAAGTTCTTAGAGTTTGCTTCTGGTCCAACCACATCCCAGGGCCATTTTGAAGTAAGCATAGAGGGAGAGACTAAGTTGATTACCTCATCTGGTTGCTGTGGCAACATTTTCCTAGTAGATATACTAAATGGGAACTAAGCAAATAAACATTTGTGAACTAAGTCAAGCTTTTTGGGTTCAGTGAGAGGAGATTATTGTTTTTAGAACTCAAAACAGAATTCCAACTTGCTAATGTAAATGTAATATTTTTTAATGCCATTAACATGTTGGGTTTTGTTTCTAAACATAATCTATAGCAAAAAAAATAAAGGATATAAAGAGAAAGTGTGCAACAGGAAGACGGTTTTGTCGAAGTGCGTGATACTGGTCTTTCTTATATTTTTGGTTGTGAGCCTAGCCTTTACCGCTGAGCCATCTCTCCAGTCCGATACTGCTCTTTCTATTTACAGGCTAGTCATCTAAATGTCTGCTATCCAATACTATTGCAAATGTCTGTAACAAACCAACTTAAGAAAAGGAAAAGTTGGGGCAGAAATATTTTAAAAGCTACAGGACTGGGAAGTTTTCTGTGAGACTGTCTCCTAGCAATGTCAGAAGCTTCACCTTTAGTCTCACCAACATCACTGCCTAAACATGAGTTGAATAATAGACATGGCAAAGTGGATGGGGGTAAGGTATGAGTGAATTGTCAACCACATACAAACAACTACAGGCGGCTAAGGGATGCTGAGAATGTGAGGAATAATCTTCCCCAGGGAAGAACATACCAATTGATTATCCAATACCAAAAGGTTAGACATGAAAACATACATATGAGTAACAAATTCTGACTGACCAGGTTATATTTAGAAATATATGCACATGTAACACCAATTAATCAAAAAGAAGCCATGAATTTGAAAGAGAGCAAGAAAGGCATATATTTAAGGACTTAGAGGGAGGAAACGGAAGGGATAATTTATGTGTTATATTATAATCTCAAAAAAACAAAAGAAAAATGAATTCCCCTCCCCCCCAAGAGGAAGGTTTTTCTGGCCCACTGTTTTGTAGTTTTTAATTCATGGTTGGAAGGACCTGTTCCTTTCAGACCTGCTAGGAAGCAGCTTATCTCATGATGGCCAAAGAGTGAAAAAAGAGAGAGAAATGGACCAAGACCCACAGTTCCCTTCAATGATGGGAACCTTCAATCCCAAATGATCTAAGACTTCCCAGGGAAGCCTCTACTTCAAGTTCCTGCCACCAGTTCCTAATCGCTCACTCTGTGGAATAAGCCTGTAACACATGGGCTTTTGTGGGACTTTGCAACCCCAACCTACAGCAGTTATGACGTGACCATTATCTCATAGTGCCCAAGAGCCTTCATGCTTAAGCTGTGGAGGCTTAAAGGCATGTATGAGATCTTCAGATCTGCATTTACAGAGTCATGATATGACGCCACTGGTCTACACCACCTCTAGGTTTCTGTAATTGTGCATAAACACAAGCAGGAATTCACTTAAGAGAAATCCATGACCAAGAACTATTCTCACAGGGCAGTGAATGTTCTTAGGAGTCAGTCCCCTGACATTCGGGCTTAGAACTCCTAGCTGAATCTGGGTGACTCATAGTCTTAAAACCTGAAGCTCCTCTAGACCTCTGGGCCAAGGCCACTTTGCAGTACTGGTAAGACTCAGGCCACAGTGATACTTCTGGAAATCCTCAGGTTCACATTCTGCTTCACCCTGTGAGGGTATGCAGATAGGGTCCTTTTGTTTGGCCAAAAGTGAGGCTGCCAGGTGGCTTTTCATCTATGCTGCATCATCTTGTATCCCCAGGAATGCTTTCATCTTGCCTTATCCAGTTTCCACAGCCACTTTGCTGGCTATCACAAGGGGTGTTGAATTACTTTCTCCCCCTAAACAAAGAACATGTTCAGGTGAAGTTATTGGTCTGGAATGGAGAACTGGTGGACCATTGTAGTTGTGTTATGAACAGCAAGTATTCAGGCATAATTACAATTATTAGGAAAAGAATGCCCAGTAACATGTCATTTATAGTAACTATATCCCAGTTACAAGGGATGGTTTTGTTTCAACTAATGAGGGTATTGTGATAACAACTTTGACCCTTAGATCAGCTGCCAGAGCCTGAATAGCAAGTAGAAAGGAACAGAAGAGGAAAGATGAGATGGGGTGAAAGTACACCAGGGTGGCAATGTATCCTGCTTGTTCTCAGTTCCCTTCTCACAGTGTCCTGCAAGGGTTCTGCCCATCCCCTAGAATGGCCTGTGGCTAGACAGCCATTAACAGAACTGCAGGAGTCTCTGTTCTTGTGTGCACTAGATTTGCTGTTTCCTCTACAGCCTCACCTGAGCAGATCCAACTGGCCCACACAATTAGTAATGATGATTTAAGATGAACTGCTACAGAACACAAAACCATTGGCAAAATGTGGTCCTCAGTGGGCTATTGCATTGTTATTTCTCAACTGAGCTGAATAAGCAGAGTGAACTGTTACTGAAGCTGTATTCTCCAGGTGCCAAGCTAGACATGTGTGGGTGGTTCCCAATCTCAGAGAGGAGTTTCCATGTACTAATTTCCCTCTTGAAGTTTAACCAGTGTGATTGCTCCAGAGAAGAACTATAAGATCAGAGGAGGTGAATCACATTCTATTTGATCTGCAGTCTTGTGCTTGAAAGGTTCTTCCAACATCCACTGGCACCCTGACACCTTTGAGATGTCCTGCACTGGGGTAGGTATGATGAACCCTGGGATCCTAAAGGTCAAGTTCACTCTACAACTCCAGAACAAGAAAGAAAGACTCCTAGACTGCTGCTTGTCCCAGATGCGGAATGAAACCTACCCTTAGAGATAAAGGCTGAAGGCATTTAACCCAGACTAGCCTTCGGGAGAAACTAGGCCATCTCCCATTGTCAGTGATTCCTCTTTAATCCTAGGAACCAACTCTGCCATGCCTTTCTACTGCTTTGAGAAAACAAAGCCAAAGCCAGCTCAAAGACTTGTTTCTGACCCATGCACACAACCCCCTTTCAGGTATTCAATTACTAGGCTGCCGTTTCTCCAGACAACTGCACTTTCCATCAATCTCACCTGCCCCTCCCCCTTGGGGTTATGGGTATTTCCTTTCTGTATTATTACTTTGCTTTCTCCATAAACCAACCCACCGTAGATCATGCTAATGGCATTATAAACTTGGGGAGCAGCAAGAAAATATATGGTGCATTACATCTTTGTATTGAGCATCAGGGGTCTGGGAAGATGAGTATAAATTTGGAGAGTTGTTAGGGCTACTAGGGCTGGCTCCTGTTTGGAATTGATGGGGGACTGAAGTGATATTGGGGGAGGAGAAGTGACCTACAAATCATGCTTTCCTTAGCTACACCAGATCTGCTGTCCTCAAGAGCTTTGCATTCTTCCAATTTCACCGTAACAACTGGGAGAAACAGAGCTCTCATCTTGCAAATACACCAGGGGCTGTAAATCCACAAGCCTGTCCCCCAGACCCAGGCTGCCCCAGCCCTGAAGGCAGTGATCTCTCTCACAGCTCAGGAACATTCTTTATGCTCTTGTTCAATTATTTAAATATACTACGAAACCTGTGCTTAAAGGAACCACTGGCAAGCTGGGCACAGTGGATGGAAAGGTAGCTCTCTGGTTTTCATACACTGGCTTTGCTCCCTGCACTCAGCAGCCCTAGTCTCATATGTGTGCATTTAAGTAGAGACTTAAATGTACAAGTTGCCAAACTGTTGACCTGGAGTCATGTGGATCCACCTTATTTGCTTGTGCCTCCAGCCATTCTCCCTCCATACTCGTGGTCTATTATGACTGTAGGATGTAGCCACAGGGTGAAACAGCCTTCGAGGGAGACTACTCCTTATT